CCATCTCTCTAGCTATAGAGAGGTAGGGTAGGAGGTCTGTCTGGTGCAGGAACCATTGCGAAACGGCCTTATTTCCCTTATGGTCTTTGTACAGCTGCATATACGTTCTTATTCTGGCCTTAAAGAACATATCGCCTCTGCCGTTGCGGTGTTGTTCGCAGTGCATTACTACGTGCTTTGGAGACTGTGGTATATGCCCGCAGGGGCACGCGGGCGAAGGGTGATTGGGCACCCTTATGCGGTGCAGGTATGCGTTAAGCCCTATATGTTCTGTTCGTAGGAGCGTGATAATTAAGCTCTCTGCTTTTGTAAGCTTATAGTGTTTAGTTGCCTAATTCTTATTCTATTTTATATTAAGGGCCGGCGTAGGGGGGCCCCTTTATTTCTTCCTGTAGGCCTTTTATTTATTCCTCTACCTTTCCTTATATACTTTCTATATTACTTCTTATCTTAAAAGTTTATATAAGTTATCTAACTGCCTTTTATACCTTAGGGCTAGTGCTATAGCCTTAACCGCAAGCCTTTTTAGTATATTACGCCGGCTTAGCTTATATTTAGGCGTTTTCCTAGGCTTATAGTATCTTCTAATAGTATTTTTAATAGTGCGGCACGTGGTTTTAATATACTCTCTAGCCTGGCCTGCACGCGTGCAGTCCGTGTACGCCACTGTAAGTTCCTCTAGCTTAAGCCTTAGAGGGGGGCAAGAGGTTTTATATTTAAGCGTTTTAATATCTATTATTTTATACACCCCTGTAATAGTATAAAGGTAGTAGTTCTAGGCCGTTTTAAGTTATTTAATCTTTGCTTTACTAATTTATTCCTTTATACCTAGTATTAGAAACTAGGTAGTGCACCTATATATAAGGGCCGGCCTAATAACTGCTAAGTATATATACTATACTTTTTAGAAGCTTGCGCTCTATATTAATACTATTAGCTATATAAGGGCTTCTATTTATACTATAGCCTTTTCCTTTATAATATATATATACGGGCCCTATTTAAGTTTAGAATCTATCTAAACTTTAAGTATATAAAGCTCTATAATTAGGCCCTTTATAAAGCCCTAGATATTTACTATAGCCTTTATATTTACTATATTTAAACGGCGCCTTATAAAGTATATAAGGTAATATTTATCCGGGGCAAATACTATACTATACTTCTTCGCCCACTCTATTATTATAACCCGTAATACGAACAACCTAAGCGCAGAGGCACTTGCGGAGATAAGTAAGTAGATAAGACTAATTACGCAGAACTAGGTTACGGGACTAAAAGGGTTACGTGTAGAACGTATAGGGATCCTAGATTCCCCTATAAACTGCTAGTAGATAGGAACAATTTAAAAATAAGATATTATAAGAATAGGGTTATATAATAGCTTAAGAGGCTTAAGAAAGTAAGCTAGGCGAGCGCTTAAGGGGCTTAAGGCTGCAAGCTAGAAGAGTAGCTTAAGAAGCTTAAAGCTGCGAGCTATATAAGTAAGAGGTTTCTTAGAACAGAGCTTTTATATAAAGGGACGCTCCTTTATATAGATAGGAACCTTATATTTAACTTAAGACTTTAATATTACCTATTAGAAGTAATAACCCTGTTTTAGACCTTAATTAATTATTGCTTTACCTTTTAAAGACTATTACACCCCGATAATAACTTACCTATACCCTGCCTTAGTGTAAAACACTTAGAAGGTATAGAAAAGACAACCTATTATACTTTAAACACTGCTATATTAAAGGAGTTATATATAGATAATTAATTAAGATAGCCCTACTAACCCTTTTAGGTAGTATAACTACTAGACTAACCCTAACTATAACTAAGGTAGTAACACGTATACAGGCATTGCTTATATAAATATAAATACTAGAAGAAGCTAGCAATACTAAGAATAAAAAGATTATAGCCTTATAGGGAAATTTCTAAACTATCTAAAAAGAGCTTACTACTACTAGAATAGTTAGCTATAGAGGCTATAAAATAAATAAACCCGAAGAGTTTACTAGGGAGAGAGGAGCTTTATAAGTATTTATAACGCAGATAAGGCTATACCTACGCATAAACTAAAGCAACCTTAAATTTAAATTAAATAAGGTCTATATAGCAGCCACCTTCTTAAAAAAAGAAGTATTTAACTAGTTTAACCCGATGCTTATAAACTAGCTTAGCAATACTAATATAAACGATTGGAAACCAGAAACTAATATTATGTTTAGTAATTACGGATACTTTAAGTTAGCACTTTAGATAACCTTTGGAGACACCGATAAAAAACGGATAGTAGAATAGAAAATAGCAGTTCTAAAGCAGAAGGGCTTAACCAGCTGCTATACTTTAGAATTTATACAAATCGCGTCTAAGCTATTATAGGGAGATAAAGCTCTGCAAGCACAGTACTATAGAGGTTTTAAGGAAAATATTAAAAATAAAATTATATAAGGCGAAAGGCCTCTAATACTCTATAAACTTAAGGAAATAGTAATATAGATTAACAGTTAATAGTATAAATAACAACTAGAACAGGCAGATAAAAAAGAACTTTATTCTTACGCCTAACTAGCTAGACTAAAGCTAAAAGTAACTAACCGCAACTATAGAGATTGTATAGAAATTAATATTATAAAACAACGCAATAACTAAAGGGGTAAACTAATTACCGATAAAGAAAGGTAAAAAAGAAGGCGCAACAGCGCATACCTATTGTGCGGAGAATAGGAATACTTTATAAATAAGTGCTCCAGAAACACCTAAACAGCAGTAGTTATAATAAAGCTAAATATAGACCGCCACAATTCTATATTATAAACCGCGTGCTATAATAACAACTACTTTACCTATTAGTTAGATAAGCAGGTAATAGGGTACTATTTAATATAAAGGGTAAAGGGATATACTATTACTATAATAAGGAATAAAAAGTATAATAGCAACCCTATAGATAACTACTATATAGATATAGAAGTTAAGAGTATAGAAATTAACTACCTATTAAAAACGGATAAGGCGTTCTAGATAATTAAACCGCGATTAGAACCCTAAACTAATATACCTAAGCTATAGAATAACAGTAAAACCGAGTTACTAGACACGGAAGCACAGGTTAACAAAGTTATAGCCACGTACGAATAAAGCGCAAGAGAAATTCTCGCACGCCTTAATAAAGGACGAGAAGCGCAAAAGGCCGAAAATACTATAGCGGGCGCAGAGCTAAAGGAACTAGCTAGTTACTAATTTCTAAGAGCTATAGGAAGAGTTACCGGACAACTTATTAAAGAAAAAGGATAAAAAATAGCCGCAGCCGCAGGAATAACAACAATAACGCCAACCCTTAACGCAGAAACTCGCGCAAAATTAGATATATTTAAAGGCTTAAGCCGTAATATCTAGATAAAATAGAATAATAAATTACCTGTTAAGAATAGTAAGGAGTACTATAATAGTAATAAAGATTGTAAACTAGAAAAGTGGTCTAGCAACGGCGAATTTAGTATAGGGCCAGAGCGAGAACTGCTAGAGCTATACGGAAGATAAACCGAGATTAAAATCTATAGAGCTTTACACCCTATCGGTAAAATAGGTGTCTATAATAAGGAAAATAAACGGCTAGATAGAAACCACCCACTTTATAGACAGATATCTTAGGTATTATATATCGAAAACAAATACGATAAGTATATAGCACACAAGAAATATTAAGAATAGTACCTATATCGGATAAAATATTATATTATTACGCAACTAGTACTATTTAAGGAAACAGAGCACTATATTATAGGTAAAAAAGATAAACTTATAGAAGTAGATACTATAGTTACGGACTTTTAGTACCTAATAGAATATAGAAAAGGTAAAAACTAGTAAATATATTACTAGGACTTATATCTAGTATATTGCAAAATAAAATATACGAACTATTAGCTATAAGAATAGCTAAAAAACGAGCAGGCGCTTAAGTAATAGAACGGCTAAAGCAGCTAAGAATAAGGTCCTATAGAGCAGCTAAAGATAAAAAAACGCAAACTGCAACTATTGCCACTCTAGTAGGAAAAGCCTATATTATAAAGAAAGGAAGGAACCCGGTAATATAGCCTAACTCTATTCCTATTTAAAACTACAGACACGTAATCCTATCGGTTAAAATTAGTAGGAACCCGGCAAGAGTACTGCTAGATAGTAGCGCGCAGGGAAATTTTATATTCTATAACTTTATTAAGAGAAACTAAATCCCTTAGCAATAGAAAAACAGACCTTATAGACTATATATAGTAGATAGCACACCTATATAATATAGTAATAGGCAGGTAACTATAGAAACTTAACTAGGTGTTATATAGATTAAAAAATATAGAGAAACTATTAGTATAAATATAACTAATACAGCGAGATATAATATAATCTTAGGTATACTATAGCTAAAGCAGTATAACCTCTAAGTCGATTAGAAGTCTAGTAAAGTAAGGATTTAATTAGAAAGTAGACTAAAAGGCACCCTATACTAGGATAAGCCTAAGTAAAAATAAAATGTTAATATAGATACCTTAAAAGGCAAAAAAGCCTAAAAAGAAGATAGGGCAGCGAGCTAATAGTAGCCTAGACCCCTAAGCAGCCGGCAGCTAGCTAAGGTAGTAAAAGCACTAGTTATGCTAGAAAAATATAATAAATTTAAAGAAATCTTTATAGAAAAAGTTTAGAATATATTACTAAAGCACTAACCTTAGGATTACTATATTCCCCTAGTACTA